TACTCTTTTCTATTTTTAACTTCTTTGAGTGCAGTAGCTCATTGAGAGCCAAAAAAATTGGGTGCGAAGAAGAAGCGCCCATGTTTTAAAAATCTTAACCTGGTAAACAATCTTTTACTTTTACTTTTGGCTACTCTATTGACTAGCCCCGGGTTCTCGCTCTCTTTATCTACCGAGAAGAGCAAAAATCCCCCCCGCTCTTGTCGCGGATTCCCCTTTTACCTGGGAACTTACCCCCGCTCTTGTCGCGGATTCCCCTTTTACCTGGGAACTTACCGGTGCACCACCCTGACCGCAGAGAGTTCTGAGTCCTCGTTGGGGTTATAGCTGAGTCCCCGTACGGGCCACCACGTGTCGCTACCGCCTCGACCAGCAAGGAAGACGCGACACCGAACTCTTCTCTCTGCAGTTTATTCAGGACCTTTGAGCAATCTTCTAACCCCAACCCCGGGGAGAATTCCCCACAGCCTTAAGTACCCGCTGGGTAGCCAACCCTGATACGCCACGTGGGAACCACCAATAGGTTCAGGTGCGAGGAAGCAAGCCAGATTCTTTGCCTTAGCCATATAAGGAGTTGTTTACCACAGAGAGCGCTCGCCATCGGGAAGGCGGAGGGCGGAAGCCGGCGCCATCTTCCAGGTGCGGCTGCACGCAGCTCTCTACAGTAGAGCGCTAGCCTTGAGCAAAAAGAAGCTCAGGGACAGTGCCCGGGCCCTGAGTTCAAGCCCCACAACTGGCACCAAAGAGAAAATTAAACAAAAGGGAAAGAACATGAGGCATGGCATCTTGTCTCTTAGGTGATGCTCATACTCTCTGGGAATGGCCCACCAAAAGCTAGCATGCTGTGGATTCACAGATCTCAAACTCCTGAGTAGCCAGGACTACAGTGCCTGGCGTATTTGATTTTTTTCCCCTCATATTTTACTTTATTTTTGTCAGTCATGGGGCTTGACCTTAGGACCTAGGAGCTATCCCTGAGCTCTTTTGCTCAAGACTAGATAC